CTCTAAAAGCTTTCTACTGGATTCCTTAGGATTTTCTATAAACAGGATTGTATCATCTGGGAATATAGATTTTCATTTTTCTTTTTAATTTGAATGTTTCTTATTTCTTTTTCTTGTCTAACTGAAATTAGACAATTGAAATTGTTAAACAACAGTTGTTAATTTGCAAAAATGAGTATGCTGTCTTATTTCTTATCTTGGGGGAAATATTTTAATTTCTCACCATTTAGAATTATGATAGCTGTGGGATTTTCATAAACCCTCTCTATTATATTAAGAAAGCTCCTCTTTAGTCCTAATTCTGGGATGTTTTTATCATGGAAGACGTCGGATATTATCAAATGCCATTTCTGCACTAATTGAGATGATCTTTTTTTTTTCTTTGTTACATTAATGTGGTATATTACACTGATTGATTTTTTTTTTATGTTGAACCACTCTTGCATTCATGGGATAAATCCCACATGGTCATGGTATTATTAATATCCTGATGAATTTGGTTTACTAGTATTTTGTAAGTTGATATTTCAATGTATATTTACAAGGCATATTGGTATGAACTTTTCTTTTATTCTGTTATCTTTATCTATCTTTGGTGTTAGAGTTATGCTGGCCTCATAGAATGAATAAAACTCAAATTTTTGGAAAATTTTGAAAATTATTGCTGCTAGTTATTTTTATTGTAATAAAATATTCATAAAGTAAAATTTTCCATTTTAACCTCCTTTTATGTGTTTGGCTAACCATAACCGTTAACTACCATCCATCTTCATATTGTTGTGCAATCATGGCCACCATCAACCTTCACCATACTACTAAAACTGATCTCTGGATTCAATGAAATCTTTGTCAAAATCCCAATGTCATTTTTCATAAAAATAGGAAAAACAATTCTTAAATTTTTATTGAACCACAAAAGACACCTAACCGTCAAAGCAATCTTGAGCAAGAAGAACAAGCTGGAGGTATCACACTTGATGATTTAAAAATATATTATAAAGCTACAGTAATCAAAGCAGCATTATAATTTCATAAAAATAAACATGTAGAAGAAGTGATGACTATGTTAGTTGGCTTGATTGTGGTAATCATTTTTCACTATGTACATATAGGTGTTCAGTAATCTCAATGTCCACATGTTGAGTATATATCATGAGATGATGGAAAGATGGATCCTGTGGTTTCTTTATGGAAGAGAACCCCCACTGATTCACATCTAAATGTACGTCAGTTGTACTAAGCCACTAAAGTCTCTGCATTTCAGTGGTTTTTCATTTCTATAACACATTCTAGAATATTCTATTGCCATGCTTTATACATTTTAATTTTTTGCTCTGTTCTCCATATCCCCAAAATAACTTTTTTACAGATGTAGAAACCCAAGCTTAGTGAAGCCAGTAATCTGGCTAAGCTAGCAGAGCAAGTCCAGAGATTTTAATTTGATGAAATCCAATTTATCATTTTAAAAATTCTTTCTCTATTTTCTCTGCATTGGCTTATGCCAATGTTGCAAAGATATTTACTGATTTTTTTCTACTAGAAAACATAAAGCTTATCCTTTTTTT